TCACACTCTATTAGCTGCAGCTGAGCTTCTATCTATCAGTTCAAATCTAAAAGCGTTTACGGAAATATTTTATCTATTTTATTTACATATCCCACCAAATAGATATAGCTTGCTTATACACTCCGCTACTTAAGTTGCTAAGCCCCACTCGGATGCGGTTCTTCAATGTGTTCTTTGGGTTATAAAACTCCATCGGTGAATCATGGTGAAGACCCCTGGTTCCTCGGTTCCCCCAGCTTCTTTTCCTCCCTCCCTTCCGAGGGTTCCAAAGGCGAAGACAGCCTCCCAATTTGAGTCTCAGACTCTCGGAGCTCTGATCTCGGTGCCTGCATTTCATTTATTGTGTAATTCCCTACAATGTACTTTTGGTTGCCACGGATTTCTTGTCTTCGCTTTTGAATTTGATTCTTGATTTTATGTCAGTTTATTTATGATAAGATGACCTTTTTTCTCCTTTTTATCCGCTGGATTCGTCTTTCCCGTCCATTTATATTTTTTTTGTTTACCTTTTAAAGGGTAATATAATTTTAGTAAGATGTTTGGAACGCAGCGAAGAAAGCGTTTTCGACACAATATATATTTTTAAGAGCATCAGCAATAGGATCAATCTAGCCTAGGAAAAAAAATTACAATCTTTTATTCCTATTTTAATTTTAAAAATTTCACGATTTTCCGAAACGCAAAGCAAAATTTAATTTTTTAAACTTTAAGCTCAATATGCTGGTGTTTCCAAATCTTGTTGGTTTAAATATAATTCTATGATATGATAATAAAATTAAGTATGATTTTAGTTATCAAGGAATATATTCGATTTCGAAAGCGTCAAATTCACAAGTTGAACAAATGAATGATTGACAAAAAGTTAATATATTATAAAATAAAATAAAAAACTAACATAATAGTGCACTTTTGGCTTAGTTAAAATCAATTTCCCTGGATCCAATTTCTACCTGCAAGGGTATACAATCATCGACTTCCCAAATTTATTTTCCTGTCTGGGTTTTTTCTTTTTATTTATTTTTTTGACTGTCTTAAAAAAGGAGTTCAGTTTCTCTAGTTCTCACTCAGTTTCGCTGCATGAATGAATGTATGAATGAAGCTCATTAAATTATGGATCCCTTTAGGAGGGGGATGTAGGAATCTGCCTGCAGAAGATATTGAAATATGAGTAGGATGCCCTGGATGTTTTTAAGGCGAATTCAAAGTCTGGGATTGAAGAAGGATTATGAATTAATAAAGAGATTTGTGTTTTGGAAAGTAGTTCTTAAAATGTTCTTAAAATAAATATTATCATATTTTAAAAGCTTATGCTGTTTATGTATTTTTTTATATTATTATTATATTATTATTTCATAATATCTATTTATTTATTTATTTGTTATTAGTTCCTTTTATGTTCTACTTTTGTATAAACCTATCTGTAAACATACTATAAATGTGCTTTACTATTTTGAATTCGAAACCAATCGGTGGAGATTTGTCTTGTATCAGCTTCTATTTTGTATTTCTTATAGCCAAGATACAGATTTTCAAGATCAACAACGCAGCGTCACGAGAAGAGATGAAAAGCGAGATCTTTTTTTGCGATTAGAGCAAAACAATGAATGCACGATGGATTCGAAAACAAAAAACAAAAAACAACAAAACAAAAACAGACAAAAATACATAACCAAAAAGCATAAAAAACATTTTCAAACCTGAGAGACAAGGCAACAAAAATGAGAACAAGAACGTTGAATTGTTGTTGATTTTGGTTTTTTATTTTCATTTTTCCCCTCTGTTGTGTTATGAGAAACCAAACCTTTTCCAACGCTCTCAGCAAAGGCATTAATGTGGAATGAGTCTGGTCCCGGGACATAATATCTTTTGGTCTTTTATATACATATATATTTTCCCTCTGACAGACTTCTTGGAGCAATATTACTGTCAACGAATGTTGTGTATGTGTTTATCCAAACATAATTGAAATGCGTTCTCAATGGGTTAATTTGGTGTGGACCAAGGGGCTAACGTAAACACAATTAGGTGCCAAAAACAAAAAAACCCCAAAATAAAAAGAAAGAAATGGTGGAGCAGAGTGAAGATCTTCCACTTATGACCATCTCATCTCCACACGGGCCAAGATGAAATGACAAAATCTAGAGTAAACCAACTTGATAAGTAAACAACGAGTGGTGGACAATGATCATTGATGATGGTCTGTTTGGGCCGCGAGTGTGTGCAAGGAAGACGACCTAACAAAATATTGTCTTAGTGCATTTTAATGGTTTAACCCTTGAGAAGCTGCGATGCATCTTTGCCGCAATTGCCGAGGAAAAGGTAAGCGATATGCCGACCACATCTCCCCAGTGCAACGTGCACCTTGCCCCGTTTCCCGCTGGCTTAATGACTCGCCAGTTTGCAATGCAAAGTTTACACTCATCCAAAACAAAGTGCCTTCTAATGGTCCAAAAGAAAATTAAGTTACCTTCTCTTATTTTGAATATTTAAAAATGGATTTTTAACTGGAAGTTTCTTTGGGATTCTAAACTCTAGACGAGCATAAAGTTGATCTTATATCAGTTTCAATATGCTAAAAGATATGATCATTAAATTAGTTTTTAAATACTCCTCGAAGCATGTATTTATTTAATTCATTTTCCCAATTTTTCCCAGTGCATGTCCGCTTAATTAGGCAGCATCTTCGCCAGAATCTTGAACTGGACGCCGTCTCGTCGCTTATTTCTCCTTTAGTACCAACCGCTCAGTTAGTAAATCAGACAGATATACGCAGTCGGCGGGCAGGCAACTTCATTAACAGACTCTCTCGGCCTCTTGGGACGTTTAAAAAGTAGAAATAAACTATTATTTATGATTATTGTGAGAATTTCACAATGGCATGCGAGAATTTATTGTTAATGTTCTCTAGCTCTCTTCGCCAATCTCTGTCGTTCTGTGATTTCTTAACATTTCTAGGAGATGCAGCACAGTGGTTTGGAATTTTAATGCAAAGTGTATTTCTTGTTTTTAAAGTAGAAAAGAAAATATTTGTATACCTTTTACAGGATATTATCATTTTTATCTAAAGTTTGTAACGCTGTGAAGAAGGAATTTCCGACCCTATAAATCATATATATTCTTGATCAGCATCAACAGCCGAGTTGATCTAGCCGTCTCCGGCAGAAAATACATTTTTGCCCATTTTTGGAAAATTTTATAAGGGTTTAATAATTAAATTATTCGAAAATTCAATAAAATTTTAATTTTTACTAGATTTGAATTTTGTAGGCAGATTTTGTTTCCTAGTAAAAAGTAGCACAGAAAAGCTTTCCGAATTAAAATTGATACAATTTAAATGTGATCTATTTAAGAAACTTTTCCATAATTAAACTGCATACCGCAAGGGTATACAAATTTCTGCTTTCCGAAATCCCTCTTTTTATTTTTAAATAAATAGTTTTATTAAATATGTATATAATTAATAGCAGAGGTTCCTAAAGACCTGACTGGCAAGTCGACCTCTTTCTCTGCTGAAACAAGTGAAATTTTAATATGTGTATATTTTAATGCCTGATTATTAATATTTTAAATTAATTTTTAATGTGCAATAACATTCAATATATAATAGAAAAGCTACTTCAATTTTCCACTTTACTTGGTTCAAGTTAAAACCAAAATATAAGAGAGCCAATTGAGAAACCAATTTTTGTTTTCTGGCTTTACCGTATGCCTAATGAATTATTTTTTTGTAAGCCTCCTATAAGAAATAAAATTGATCGTTTAAAATTTAATAATTTTCCCACGACGGCATATTAGCACTTTAAAATTTATTAGCCATTTCAAAAGCATGAAAAATTTAATTCCAATCAGCAAACAATAAATAAATATTTACATCCCCATCCACCACCCCAATTGAAAAATAATAAAACGTTTGCAATTATAATTCATCCATAAATTTTTTTATTTTTTTTTTCATATTTTTGTTGTTTGCATTTTTGTTTGTTTGTTTTTTGTTGCTTTTTGTTTGGTTTGTTTTGTTTTTTAATTCATTTTTTTAATTACTAAAAAATTTCATAAAATTGTTTAGGCTAAGTCGTAAGTACAACACTAAATTACAATTGTATGCAAGTAACTACTATTTTTTATGGGTTTTCATTTATCGTTTTCTTCTGGTATAAATATTTGTGTGTTTTTATGTTCTTATCAAATTTTTACAATTTTTTTCTCAAGTGTTTCTCTACTTCGTTTGTTTGTTTTTTTTTTTTTTAATTTTTTAGGTTTCCATTTTTAATAAAAAATATAAATTACTAAAAACGACTATTTAAAAAGTAAATATTTATAAAAAATATATGTGTGTTTGAAAAACTTTATGTACAAAACTGGATGAGAGGAGAGCTGCGGGATAGCAAACGTATAAAAATATTTGTATTTGTTTATATACTGTGTAAGATTTATCAGATAAGTTGCTGCACAGTTTGTTTTTTTTAGCACTTTTACAACTAGTTTTCATTTCTTTACACTAACGAGGAACCATTTGCAATTAAACACTGTAGTTTTATTGATTTAATTTTGAAGTTTTGGAATTTCGCAAACAGGTTTTGCGTTTTGCGTTTTTCGTGCTGCACATTGTCTGGTTTTGTTGTCTTCGGTTTTGAGATCAAAATTAAATTGTATAAACCTTTTTGTTTTATTTGCCTTTTATAAAAAACATAATATTAATAATAAGACTATGTGAAGACTGTGTGAGAAAACACGAATTTTCAGTTATGTTCTGTTTATGTGTGTGTATTTATATATTGTTTTCTATATTTTCATTAATTTATTGTTTTTAATTTTGTCTTGTCCTGTGTTCCAATTCAGTTAAATTTTTTGTTATTTTTCTTCTTACAATTTATAAATTCAATACATTTCGCTTGCAGTTAGACGCTAACTACACTTATTATTGACTTCTTTTGCGCCGCCAAAAAAATTGATATATGGGTTGTAAATGGACAAAATTAAAAGGTAGAAATAAAATTAAAACAAAAAAAGTTAAAAAGTCGAAATAAAAAAAATACAAAATTATTGGTTGATAGGTTGAATTATAAGTACTTAAAATAGAATCACTAAATGTTTTGCTTGTCTTCGCATGTTTGTTTGTTTGTTTGGGGTCTTTAAATTAACACTAAGCTAGGTTCGAGTTAAGTTTAATTTTCCTTTTGTTTGCTACATTTACATATACATAGTTAGAAACTAAATAGTCGAGATAGTGTCAATTTATGTACTTATATATTTTTTTTTTAGTTTTTTTTTGTGTCATGTCTTCATCTTTTGTCTTATCCATTTCGTATATCGATTGTGACCTATGAGTACTATATACAAATCGCCCGATCCGGCCATCTGCCTTGCATAGAAAGACAGCACCGTTCCTGGGGGCGGCGTCATTGAGGAGATTGGTTTCTTTCCAATCGTTTTTAGCATTAGTTTATAATTACCATTAATATTTACAATTTATACCGAACTAAGTGAAAAATAGATTAATTGAAGCAGATTTTCAGTAACATGCAAAACGTCAAAACGGGTGCAGAGTCGGCTCATCGACTCTGTCGTCCAGTGGTTCTTGGTCTTGGTCTTGGTCTAAATTTTAGCTAGCAATTGGTCAAGTGATTTTTAAGGATTTTAGGGGGGAAGCAACTGTTTCCGCTGGCTATTTCGATGCAATTTTTGGGGGGATTTCCTGCTGTGTATAAAAATGTATTTGTAAAATTTGTTTAAATTAAAATCTTTACAAATATGGATAGCAAATAACCTTCGAAATGGCTTTGGGGAACAACAGTCATGCTAATTACTTTCAAGGGACTTGAGGAAATTCACGAGTTATGCCTGTTACAGAGTTTCTACTATTTTCGTGACGACTAAGCCTGCTTCAATCAACAACAACATTTTGGCGTCTCTCTCCTATATTTCGAACCCAACCCAGTCTTTTCTTTGTGTGTGTGTTTTTGCTGTAAGCTCCTCGCGGACCTCCACATGTTCTTTTGGAGTTACATGTGCGGTGTGCCGCAGACCACGGATCTCTGCTGTTGCGCTGTCCCCGCTCCGCTACCCGCCGCCGAGGCGGCGGCCATCAGCTGGAGGAGCATGCTCCCGCCACACCAGCCGCCGCCAGCGAGGGCCAACGCTGGCTGCAGTAGGATCCTTCGCCAAGGACCGAGATCCGTTTGCCCTCCGCCGCACCCGGTGCTCCCTTCACGGAGCTGCCGGCGGGTGAGCTGCGATGCATGAGCGTGGGATCCGTATTGAGTTGCTTCTGTGACTTGGCCCTCTGCAGGGGGCCACACAAAAGTCCGAGTTGGCATTATTGTTGTCCGCCGCCGAGGCCACATATCCGCCGTACATTAGACACTCATCAGCCGCTGCTGCTGCCGCCGCTGCCGCTGCCGCCGATGCACAGATATTGTTCACCGACTTGTCCCAGGTGTTTTTGATTATATTCGGGTTACCGCCGTCGAAGGTCAGACCGCTGCTGCTGCCAGTTTTGCCGCCCAAGGACGCCGAGGCCAAGGCCACGCCCACAGCGCTGCCATTGTGATGCAGTGTGGCCACCGCATTCTGTTCATTCTGCTTCCTGGCCTCCGCATCATCCTTCTCCTGGGCACGCTTCCTCTTCCGCTTCATGCAAAAGACGACACAGGCCGCGATGACCGCCACCAGGGGCATGGCCACGGAGAATACAGCAATTAGAACCACCTGGGCATTGGTCAAACCATCGGCTCTAGCCTGAGTGGTGGCTCCATACTGGTGCGCATCAAAGGTAACCGAGTCATACGATTCCTCGTCACACTGATTGCCGCGGAAGCCATTGGCGCAGACGCACTCAAAGGAGTTCACTCGATTCATGCAGGTACCGCCATTGTGACAGGGTCCACTGACGCACTCATCAATGTCCACAGAGCAATCCTTTCCGGTGAAGCCCGCTCGGCAGGTGCACTGGTAATCGTTGTTCAGATTCGTGCAGGTTCCTCCATTGGCACAGGGTCTGATGAGGCACAAATCCACTTTGCTGCTGCAATGAGGTCCATGGAAACCGGCAACGCATTGGCAACGATATTGATTCACCATATCTATGCAGGTGGCTCCATTTTCACACTGGTGACCCAGACAGTCATCTATGTTCGTCTCACATTTGAATCCGGTGAATCCCGCTGGACAAATGCACTTTCCATTGGGCTGACAGCTTCCACCATTCAAACACGGATTCGGACTGCAGTTATCCAGCTGGAGTTCGCAGGTGGGTCCACTGTAGCCGATGGGACACTCGCATTGGTAGCCCTGACCTTTGCCCCCCAAGCCGGGACGAACGTTGCGACAGGTGCCATGTTGGCATGGTTTATCGGAGCAGGTGAGCACTTTCTCCTCGCACATCTTTCCGCTCCAGCCACTGGGGCAATGGCACTTGTAACCCGTCTTCGAAGGTGGCTCATCCACGCAGGTTCCGCCATTCTGGCAGGGATTCACATCGGCATCGCAGGAGTAAATCTCAGTTTCACAATCGTCGCCACTGAAACCGGGTGCACATTTGCAGGTGTAGAGTCCCTCGCCGGTATTGAAGCAGGTGCCACCGTTCTTACAGGGACGATGGTTGGTGCAGTAGTTCAGATCCTGGTTGCAATACAAGCCACCCCAACCCTCGTTGCAAATGCAGGTCCAGGGTTTGTTGCAGGTGCCATGGATGCAGTTGGGTTCCAGTACGCACTCGTTGCACAGAGCTCCCTTCCAACCCAGTTGGCAACTGTAATTAAAGAGAGAAAAAGAGAAAATAGTGGTGAGTGTGGGTGAAATTAAGAGTTCAGTGTGACCAAGCTTCTTAATGACTAACTTAATGTGACCAATCTTACTTTTAAAGCATGCCCTGCTTACTTATTACTTTCTTTTGAGTGCTGATCTTTTCTTGATATTTCTTCTTGTGTAGATACTGATCTTTTCTTTTCCTCTTTTTTACTTGCTTTTCAAAGGGTTAAAAAGAAATCTACAGATACACTTAAACATCTTTGAGTCTGTTTATTGAAGCGCCGCGAGCGCTGGTTTACTTTTGACTTTTGAAATGGGCGCGAGCAGGACGGAAGGCCTGTCTTCCATCACCTGTTCCACGCATCTGTGCGTCCCACTCCCTCCCCCGACATACATACATCCATACACTTGTTTGCATGCCACGCTTGATTGCAGTTAACGAAAACGAAGAAGTTGCACAAGAAATGAGCAAAAAGAGACAGAGAGACAGGGAGAGGGAAAGGAAGATGGCTTGTCATCTTGAAAAAGTCTCGTTCGCAATTGAAATAAAACGAATGTCTCTTCTGCCAGAAGTCATATCCGCACACTCGAAAAAGGCAAGAAAAGGGGGAGCTTTTTGAAGCAGTTGAGGGAAATGTTTAATTTCTCACGATCATAAATTGATTTCAAACCAATGAAGAAATAAAATAAAAAAGGAGTTGCTTCCTTTGCAATACAAAAAGCACGCTTGCGCACGCTTGCACGCACATGCGTGAGCATGCAGGCCAGATGCAAATGGCCAACTGTAATGCGAAAAAAGCCTTCACCCACAAAAATTTCAATAGTTAATAATTCAAAGTAAGACAGGTAACCTGTTGACTTGGTGTAAGAGAGGCAAGCAACAAATATACAGACAGAAAAACAGACAGAAAGACAGACAGTCACTCAGACAAGTAGTAATTGATATGCGTCAGCCAGTGTGTACACAAAGAAATGTCAAAAAGCAGCCGTCGTGTTGCCAACTTGCTTTACTACACAACACACTTGAGATTGTGTGTATTTGGTGTGGTGTATGCGCTTAGAATTATTAAAATATTCCCACAATCAAACAGCAAACTTGGCTAAGTGGCACGCATACCCGGGCGTCTCTGCGGTTTCCAGCTAACAATTCCGATTCACAAAACGAATCGATCCACTCAAAACTCTGAACAATGATGTGTTGATTTCGGTGCTCTTTTTATTTGGCACAATTATCGGTGGACCACAAAATGTTTGATTTCCGCCTAAGCAGTGAGTGAGAGAAGGTTTATTGGCCAACGTAATGCATAAATAATGAGCAACATCCTCTGCTCCATGGAGTTTGAAAATCAATTTCGGAGCTCGCTACCGGTGGCAACACCGGCAATAATAATCTGGATATTTTCCTAATATTTTTCCCTTTATAATATTTCATTTAAATTTTTACTTAAGCTAGTGCAAATTATGTAAGAAATAAAACAATAAACCAATGAGACACGTTGTTCTCGATGCAGCACTTCTACTTTGTTGAAATTGTATGCTGAAAATATCTCAAAATATTTGCAAACGTGGTCAAAAGTGTTCCCTTACACCTTCAGGGGCAGCAAAAAAAAATGTGGGAAAAACTTTGGCTACTTGTAATTCAATTTGCCCGCCTGGCTTTTACTTCGCCTCAAAATTGTAATGCAAAACCCCGGACAAATCAAATGACATCGCGCCGAACCGAAAGAATTTCTTGCGGTCGCCGAACGAATGGCAGCAAACTTGCATTCAATCCAAAAGGGGGGAAAATAAATACAAATAAAATAAAATAAAAGAGCAAAGTGTTTTCTGCCCTTTTGCAAAAAGCTCACGGTAGCAGTCAAACATTCAGCATTACATTGAAAAGGTGTGCCCCCATCATGATCGTAGTCGTTTTACTGGGTTTTTCTTCTCGTTCTTCTTTTTTTGCTAGATGAGCCAAAGCAAAAGCAGAAAAGCTAAAGCAAAAAGCATTAAATAAAAGCAAACAAAAAGCACAAACAAATAAAACGTGCAAAGTACAAAAAAAAGAGGACAAGAATCATCATTTAAATTGAAGGCAAAGGCACCCAAAGCAACAGTTAGTTGCTGTCTTAATTAAGAGACATGTTGCCAAAAGGCATTGAACTAAGACTTTTCCAAGCTATTTTCCTTTATTTATCTATTGGAATTTCTAAATATATTATAAATTTTTTCCTATGATCCATTTCAATGATCCTAATTAATAAAATACATTCGAATAAATTACTTACACGCATTGATTGGGTTTCTCGCAGTGTCCATGCTCACAGCCCTTGGCGCATTTGGCTGCAAATAAACAAGAAAATGAGGGAAAAATTTAAATATAAATTAATTGAAATGTAAATGATACGGGTGGTGGGGCGAAAAGACTTTCCCAAACACACACAAAAATAATAATAGCCTAAATGGGCCCCACCTGTTCGGGGGACACCCACTCAGCCAGGTGTGTGTGATCTGCCCACTCACAGACATTCAGATCCATCAAAGTGAGCCAATTCCGAGGCAGAAGTGACGAGAAAACTTTCTTTTTCACGCGTCTGGCAATGAAAAAAATAAGAGATGTCTCTTTGAGGAAATAAAACAACAGCCGCACGCCAAACAATAGAAAAACGCTTAAAAACGTTTTAGCACAGAGACTAAAAAAAAAAGAAAAACTATAAACTATAAAAATGAATCATGGCCAGTGGCTCTCAAAGTGTTCAGTGTTTTGGCAGTGTGCGAGAAGAGAGTTTTTAAGCGAGCCACAAAGAGCAGGAATAACTTGTTTCTAAGGCCAAAAAGGAAACACACAAAATGAAATAATCCCATGGCCAGGAGAAGATGAAGCAGCAGCTGAGGCGGAGGCCGTGGCCCAAAACAGAAAACAGATTCCCAAGCTCGAAAGGTTCGACGAAAACATCGATTGGAAGCCGGAGTTGGAGACGGACTTGGGACTTGGGACTCGGAGCTAGAGCTGGGATCTCTCCAAAGAATGTGGCAAACATGTTTCGGCCGGCAAGTAAAGCCGTTGAAAAAAAAAGAAGAATAAGTTGAAGGCAGCAGGAAGCTGGGGAGGAGTTTGCCACAAGGGCCTAGAGTTGGGGTAAAAGTCGTGAACAAAACTAAAAAAGGCAATGCCAAAAGGAGCCCAGAACGTGGAAAGGAGCTGTTGCTAGATGCTCCTCTTTAAACCAAGTTTCATTCAGAAGCAAGCGGCGGCGGCAGGAAAATTGCTAGAAAATCACAAAAACGTGTTCTCAGCCTTAGTCTTGGTAGTTCCCCTTTTAATATATATACATATATATAGAGGGAAAGAGCGTAAAATTGGCAATTGCCAATGATTTTTATTACCATCGCCCGCAGCCAGAACTGGAAATAGATTTTCGCAGTTGGCTTGAAAGTGAAAAAATAAATTCACACGCCGCAAGGCAACGATAATCGTTCCTAATCGAATGATATATATATATCCTCACATTTGACTTTCACTTTTAGCCAAAGGGTTCTGTATTAAAGTATCTTGCAGATGTACCACACTCACAGCACCCACAGGCAAGTGGCCTGCCATTCATGAACTTTTAGCCCAAATAGCTCATTTCCTTGCAATTAACTTCATTCATATAAGCCAAAAAATAAAAACTAAAAAACGAGAAACATAAGGGTAAAAAGAGACCTTCTTTTTAGCCAATTTACTTGGCCACTTCCACTTGAGCAAGTCTCTCCTGTTCCTGTTCCTTTTTTTTTGGTTTTTGTATTTTGTATATTTTATTTTCAAGCTGAAGGTTCTGTTTTGCACGTTTGGGCTTTTTATTTGCTGCTTCTGCTGCTGGAAAACAATTTTCACACATGTGTGTGTGAGTGTGTGCCTTAATTTTACCTCATTTTTGCGCATTTAAGTTGAAAATAAAATATAGCAAGCAGGAGCAGCTGCCTCTTCCGCTGCCAACTTGCTAAACCGGCAGCAGGACACAAAAATTATCTGCCCCAAAAAAACACAAAAAAAAAGAGGTAGAAGAAGGAGAAGACGAAGGCCGAGAGACCAAGAATTGCCGAAGAAGCCAGCTCTTCCAGGAGACACGACATTTAAGGTGTAATCAGACGTTGCCCAACAGCCCTTAAGGAAGTCTTCTGTTCTTCGGTCATCTCTGGCCGGGATCCTCAGAAATGCTCGGCATGCAGACGATCAACCAAAACCGAACCGAAACCCATCCGATCCGAAGACCAAGAACAGGGAATCCAAGTACCGAGACCGAGACCTTATGATCATCAAGCTGCTGCTGCTGCCGCTGCTGGTGTATCTGTATCTGTATCTGGTGGATTGAAGAAGAGTTGAACCCCTTACGCAGACATACAGATACCACACCTTTTTGGTCCGAAAACCCAAGCCCTTGCACTTGGCGTGGGAAGATTTTTGTATGCCTTGTTCGGTTCGTTTTGGCTGCTGCTCTGATTCACAGTTGAAAATGTTGGTAAAATATATATATATATATACATATAGTAGCTGGCAACCTGAACTACAAAGGGCTGCCCGAATTTCTGCTTTCGGCAAGTTTTTTTTCTTCTTTTTGGATACTCAAAGTTCGTTAGACGTTTTGTTCTTCGTCAATGACAAATGGCTTTTCCTGCATTTTCGGGTTTCGGTTTACGCATCCCAAACTTCATTGATTTTTAATTTATTTGTTTGACTTTGATTTTTGTTCCACTCGAACAGAGAGTAGTATTCAAATTTTTGTGTAGTTTCTCAATTTTTGTCAACTCATCATCATCATCATCATGGCATTCGAAAATAATTATACTTTAATTCGTTTTGGGGCAGCAGCAGCCGCTTTTTTGGGCATTGTGTACAATCATCTCATTTGATTTGACAAGCAAGTGATTTTCAATAATAATGAGAGCTGCCAGGCTCTAAAAAAATGATAATAATAATAAATAAAAACTGAAGTTTTGAGCCACTTGAGCCAAGAGATCGGCCAGAAGCAACAACAAACAGAGGGCCAAGAAGTGTTTTCGGTCTAAAGAATGCGTGGCAAGATGATGGAGGCTATTGATCCGAATGGATATTTGAAGCTCAGATACAAATTTCAAGAAATCATGAAATAATTATAATGAAAACCACACTATTTCCCCAATAATATCTATAACATATAGTATCTAGGATATGTTCTACTTACGTATATGACAATAGTCTCCCTGCCATCCAGTTAAGCAAATGATATCACCCGTCTCCGAGCAGGTGGAGTGCCCGAAAGAATCATCACGTGGCCTGCAGAATTGGGAGCATCCTGATCCATAGTAATTGGCATCACAGGTGACACGGAAATCGTACTCCAGTGAGGTGTACTGTGACTCTGACTTGTTGGTCTTCCACTCGGAGGACACCTCCAGTACCTGCTGCACCAACAGCCGCTGGATAAGTTGATCTGTAACGAAGAGGAAAAGATAAAGATACAGATTAAGTGTGTGAGAACAAGTTGCGGGCAAACGATAAACTAATGAAGATTAATTGGGTTAAAGATGATCCGATGAGATGGCGCTCAAGGCAAGAGACCTATGTTTGGAATGCAGCAAATGGAAAATGGAAAACGGAAAATGGAAAACCCAAAAAAACCGAATCTGAAACTAAAGTCGAACGATGGAACTTGAATACCCCCGAAATGCAATTGCCTGTCACAGAGTCAAGTGCTCAAGCTGAGGTATGCGGCTCGGCTAGGGTACGGAGGAGTACCACTTGGTATTTGGCGATGAGAGAGGCAAGACTGGCAGACAGACACACACGGGGCATGGCACAGGCAAAGCCAACAAAAAATAAAAAATTAAATAAAATACTTGCAGCAACAAAAAGTAAAAAACAAAAAAAAGAAGGCAGCAGTCAGACCGCCAGCCAAGCTCGTCGAAGCATTTTTCAGCTGTTCGACGACCGGTCTCGACTTTGGGAGATGGCTGGCTGGCTCCGCTGGCAACTCGTTTGTGTGCAGATACAACTACAGATGCAGATGCAGATACAGGTACACCCAAAGATACAGATACAGATACAAGCAGCGATGCAAAACAACAGATACATGTGCAGCCACATTATGCCATGGTCTATAAAGTAAATTGCAGGTGCATGACTATTCGAAATGCAAACCTTAAGCTAAAGTCAAAGCTAAATGCAAAGGCAAAGATAAAGTCTATATACTCAATGTCAAATGACAAATCAAACTAAACTAAGACACAGAACAAATCATAGAAATTCCCTCTCTTCAAAACAGTGAAAGTAAAATCCAGTTAACTCTAAAAATTGAGCAATTTATTGCCCAAATTTATACAATCACAGCCACAGACATACACACACATTTGGAGCAGGCTTATTGACAGGCCAACCAGTTGGCCAATAAAAATATTAAATGCAACTCCAAATACTCACTAATTAATTACCAAAAATATGCACAGACAACAAGAATTCTTGGCCAGTTAGCTAGCTGTTAGCTGTTTGCCGTTGGCAATTGCATTTTTTGTTATTTTTGGGCAAAACTCGTGTGCTTCACCTGCTCCACCAGCCAACGGGACCGGCTAACAACATGGAAAAGCATTCAATGCAAAAATCGCACCAACCGACAACATTCCCAAAAAATATATACAAAAAAAATAAATAAACAACAAAAATGGAATTGTACTTTGTGGTTTTATTTACATTTGCAACAGACACACACTAGCAGTACTACCAATACTTCTCTGGCTTTAAGCCCATAGGATTTGTGGCATGACAGGTTATTAGACAAGCCGGCACAAGAGACGCACAATTTTCTGGCCAGTTTGGCAAGTTTTCGTTAAAAAAAATAAAAACGTGCAATAAAATATATATATCACAAAAATTTTACTAAAAATATTTGTATAATTATCTATGGAAAAGCTGCTGCGTGTGACAACTTTCGCAATGCCTGAGAAAAAGTGAGTAATGCGATGGCGGAAATATGGCCAAGATTTTCCAGTTTCCTTTGGGAGTTAATTAAATAATAATAATATTTCTTAGAGACTTACTATCCACATATCATATTTTAAATAAAACTAAAATCCATCTAAACAAATGACTGAAATAAGCAACAATAAAACCTTGACTTGACTTTGTATACAAGGGATCTTTTTCCATCTCCTGGAGGACTCCCCTTCATTTTATTTCCAGCATCCGCCTCCCCAAAAATGTATCGCTGAGTTGGACTTGAGGAATTTTTTCAAAAAATACCATTTTATCAAGACACACGACGACAACAAAAACGAACAAAAATCGAAAACCGACAACGACAAGTTTTGTGGCAGACAGAAGGCTGGCAAAAATACAAAAAATAAAAGATCGAAGGAAGCCAAGTTGGGCTCTTCTTGTTGCCGGGTCCATCGCTTCTTCTTGATCCAATGAGTTAAAATTAAAAGATAAGCATTTTAACAACATCGAACCAGGAGGAGAGAGAGAGCCGGCAACGTGCAACGTGCAACTAACAACTTTGGCATTGGCAGAGATTAATTGGTGGGCAGGGATGGAGGTGAGGAGCCGCAGCCGGAGACTGTGGTCCATGAGTTGGAAGATTTGCTGAAAACGCATCAAGCCAAGAGGAGAATCCGAGAATCACCTTGCAAAATACCTTGTGCACGGTAAAGAATATTTGCGATTATTAAATGGGAAAATAAACTTGAATTTTGCATAGAATTTAAAGTATCTAAAGGCGCAATATCCTTAGAAACCCATATTTCCTATAAATAAATAAATATCATATTTAAAACCTATTCCAGATTTGATTTTCCTGGAACCTTCCCAAATTTCCCTCTGTGCACTTTTGCCTTCGACACGAGAACATTTAGATTTCTTCTGCCCAGCAGGTCCGGTTGCCTCTTGGCTCTTGGCTCTTGGCTCTGGGCGAAAAACCTGGCTAAAAAGGTCGCTTGGCGTTTAGCTCCCTGCCCCCCTGCTCCTTCCCTCCTTTATGTAATTTATGTTAAATGAATATAACAAAAAAAAGGAGCTAAACTTGTTGCTGCGGCATAAACTCGCTATGCAAGTCCAAGTATGCGGGAGATCGAGGAGCGAAGAAAACTAAAAAAAATATATATAAACTTTTAAATAATGAAATTAATCCTTGACAGGCGGCAGCGGCGGCTTCGAGACTAGGAAATCTCGGTGTGCACACAGAAATTGAAATTGCAATTGCTGGCCAAGGAGTTACTTGTACCGGTCTCTGTTAACGATAAAGATCTATTAGCCTGGGACCGCCTTGGAAATTAGCCTGCAGCCCAGCGGGTAGCCGCCAGTGGAGGGGAAAATCTGTTACGGAATGGAGCTCCGCGAGTAGAACAATTAAAATTCCTTCAAGGAATAGGGCAAACTAAATATAGAAAATCAGAAAAAGGGACGACAACAGCAAAGAAATGATTATAACAAAGGGGAAAGAACAAGCTAGAGATTCCTATGAAAAATCCATAAATCTTGAGCCAAAAGAAAGTGCAGGTAGTTAAGCCCCAAGCAGGTAGCTGCTCCTCCTTCTCCTCAGCTCTTTCATCAAATTTTTGTGTGGGAAAATTCGGCCACAGAAAATGAGTATACATATATGCCGGAGTTGAGGAATTCTCTTTCTGTTTCAAGGACTAGATCCTTGTGTGGTCCTTATCTGTGCAAGACAATCAGTTACTACACACAGAGATCCATGTAGCATTGTTCCAAGATGGATTACACACAAACACACACGATCTCTTTCCCGATCTGCGATCGAAGACTTGGACTTAGTTCGTGAGCCCCGCCAAGAGCTTAATTGCATTTTAACCAAATGAGGGATGGGCCAATCCTCAACTTCAAGCACACTTCCGTTCCAGCGGACAGACAACAAAAGGCGACAAACTCTGGCCCAGGTTTATCCATCCCCCAAAGAGAGTGTGTATCTGTGTGTGTTGTTTGTTATTTAAAACCACTCAATACCCCGGAAATCTTACACTGAGCGAGAAGAGCTAGAACCCAACAGAGTATCAAGTTGCGATCCTCGGTTACTTGGATCGCAGGAAGCAGGATGAGTTCATAACCAACCAAAACATTTTTGGAGCATGCAAGGAAGTAATTTTACAGGCTAAAAAGTATAGTAATTTAATAATATATATAACTTACTGTTGGAACGGGCATTGCCACTGTTGTTCGTATCATGCCAGGCCTCGACGATCAGCGAGAAGGTGCCCTGCAAAGGTAAAAGAAAGAAGGAAAATTAAAGAAAGTTCAACATCTAAACGGGAAGTGACAAGCAGTTGAACCTATCAGAAACCCCCATCGACTATAACCAATTTTAAGGCTAATGGAAAGCACTCATTATAAGGGGATTATGACAGTACGCCCACATGATCCGCAACTCCAACGAATATCTCTCGAATCTAATGCAACGCGAATGCATTTCAAATGCAAATCGCCAACTTCGAATGCAACCGGCAGGCAGCGCCCTCAATTCACACTTGATTTCGAATGCAGGCGCTGCTGGAAAAACCGGCAGAGATGACACAAAATCCGAATACTAAAAACCAGCCCATGGAAACTTTTGCAGAGGTGTCTCTGCCACAGCAAGTTTTCAACTTGTATACATATACACATATATATATCTAATGCATTTTGATTCGCGTTGCATTGCATGTAAATGACTAATTTTTTCGACCAACTTTCGATTGTGCGTGGGACGTATGACTCTGTGGCAGTTGGAGATGTAGAATTAATTTGGTTGATAAGCCACAGTGTTGTTTGCTTTGCCGATTGATTGCATAACGATTGCTTTACTGTGCTGCGGATCTCTTCTATATAGTTTGTCGTATTTGCAAATAAACGTAAAATTTATATGGGCACGACAGGAAGCAAATCAGACATAGATGATCACACAATGGGAAATGAGCAGGAAAGGTAATAACAAATGAAATGAAGCGCTGCCGATGGTTTATTGGTTTTATTGTGCAAAAAAAAAGAAATAAACTTTTCAATGGTGGCTACGTGATTTTTCAAAATGTGGGAAATTCTGTGCAAGGTTTAAAGGGGAAATGTGTTTAATCAGTTAATTTAAAGCAAAGTACGTTAAAATTAGTAGGAAATTAAGGCTTTAAGCAGCTTCAAGGCTTTGAATATTTGTAAAACTCAAATCTTAATGCTTGCTTTGCTAGCCAAAAAGGGAATTCACCTGAAACTCCTTCCTGTAGCTGATAATTCAAGTACATATATACTTTTTTTGTATATATATATTGCAAGTACTTGTGCATTGGCGTATGCCAGATCCAAAAATAAATGAGGCAACATGCATCAGAGGCCGCTTAGTGAATATCGCGTGCGTCGGTGCTGTATATCAACGTCAATATCCAGCATATAGCATAGGGATCTGAGTATAGGGTGGAGTGCATATGTGTATATATGCCCAGGAGTAGGAGTGGTAGCCATGGACAGACACGTAGCAACAGCCACGGGGGAGAACACACACCACCCGAAGAAGACTGAAGACACAACACAGAAGACACTGAAGACACAAGACAAGACTCTGTCTGACGGGGGGACCAAAAGTTGCAAAGTTCAATACGAACAAGAGGAGCGTGAATGCTGATGCTCGACTATTTTTAGTCACTATCAGGAGGGGGGAAATGGGAGGAGGAGGGAGTGGCAGACGACAAGGGCGGGTGAAGAAAATGGGGAGTGGCAGGGATAGGGACTGAGGCAACCCCCGTGGCACATCTTTTGGCGTGTCGTCAGGCATGCGTGGCTCCTCTCTCTTCGTTGTTTTAATTAAGTGCAGCACTAAATTAGTTGATGAGGCGGCAGCCGACACAGTCATACTATAATTAAAATTTATAGTTTGACCTAGAAATAATTTGAAGTTGAAAGTGCGCAAAAACACACAGAAATAAAGTCTTAGAATGGGTTTAGGAGCCTTAAAATAAACTAATAACTAATTTTAGCTTTTCAAGGAAAGAATGTAATATGTTCCTATAGTATATTGATCAAACTAATCAAGTATTTCTTAATACAAGATCACAAAGCTGATCTTAGCTAAAACCATAATCGTTGTATATTTCCCTTTTACCCAACCCCAATTTCCCCTTTTGGCTCGTGCTTTTTAACGCTCTTTGGCTTAATTTTAATTGTAGCAACCCACAGTTTGCTAATTGCTTATTTATGTGTGTAATGGTAATGCTCGCCCGCAGCTTAAGCCGCTAAAAATGTATGCAGCTTACACATTTCACGTGCCACAAAACATCTCAAGGTACCTGGGCCTCTTCACTTCCCATTTCTCCTTCCTCCCCCCATGACTCTGCACACCTGAACATACACCAATGTGTGTGTGTGTGTGTAATGATAGTGACGCTGCACATGCGCAGCACTGAACAATTAGGTAATAAAGTGTCTACGCAGAGAGAGAAATAGCAAAATAATAATACTGAAAAAGAGGGGGATTTTGAGCTAGAGGTAAAAACCACCCCTTAAACTATCCGCGTGCACTGACACAAAAAAACGTTACAAACTCCAGTTAATGTTGGCATGGAATATTTTGAAGCTTGAGTAATTTCTTGGTTTCTAGGGTGGACCCATCCTCAGTGCCCCAGAGACTCTTGCAGTAATAATAATTAAGAAATGCATGGCATGCCGGGGCCGTGCCACAACCGCAATCTATATATATATAGTATATAGTATATAGTTTTCTTGGTCAGTCGAGCTGAACAGAATAAAGACGAGCGTCTCTCTCTATGGTGGTATTTCAAAATTTTTAACAATTTATTAAGCACACGTGCGCTTTTAAAAACCCGGTAATAAAGAAGGGAACTTCATTGACTTTAATTAAAAAATTATTTCCAAATAAAATTCAAATAAAAATACTCGATTTTCAGTACCTTCTTATGGTAATTTTACTGTTAGAAAAGTCAAGAATAGGGAAAGTTTAGGGCAAAAAGTAACGGCAATTCCAATAGCTCTGGGGTTGGTTTATATGCCATATAACCTTGTGAGAGAGCGATCTGAAAATTTGTCAAGGAATGGTTTGAAATGCCTCGGATCTTATAGGATCCCCTGGGTAATGGTGGTGGTGATGGCTGTGAATGGTGGTGACGTTCCCGGTGATGGTGGTGCGGCGGCTTGCTGCGGTTCGCGCACGCGTTTTTCAGCGCATTTTTAATAGCCGACAGATGTTCGGTGCGCCAACAACCCTCGACAAGGACGCCCAGCGGAAATAAATGCGGCACAGGGGAGTACGTTATTCTTCTCCAAACTGGAGGAGGAGAGAAAGAGAGCGATCGGGAACGGAGGGACGGTCAGTGGCTATAAAAAGCCCAAACAAATTAGCTAAAGATGACGCACGAATAAGTTTTCTGGCGAAAAATCAGGCGACGGTAAATGTACATATGTATATGCATATATGGAAATTTTTATTGACTGCCAGGGTAAAATCTAAATATAGAGTGGTCTATAGACGAGTAGTAATTTATCTATTTAGTCTTTAATTAAGTTGTAACCCATAATTAAAGTCCAAAGCTTTCACCTTTATATTGTTTTTATTTCTAATTTCTATGCTACTTACCGGCCATGAGAACTGAAAGGGGAATTGGATGGGATTCGTGAAGCCCTTGTTTTGAAATCGCTGCGCATCGGTCAGGTTGACCGAGTTCTCGCCCAGAATGGGCGTAACCACATCCCCGTAGGTGCACTGGGAGGTGGTGTCAATGGTGGCCTGGTAGTGCTTCAGGCAGACGCGAAACCGCGTCTTGCAGCTGCCCAGACATTTGCCCGTCGCCGCGTCCGCATCCCCGCTGCAGCAGCGACCCTCATGGTCGCGCCCATGCTCATTGCTGAAGTACTTCAGACGCAACTCGAAGCTGCCGGAACTGTGAACCTGCAAGAACGAGGAGGGAATATATTTTATTAGTCAAATCAAATTAAAAAGCAATTCATTAAAGGGGGGACAACACACAGGCACATACAGAACCCAAAAGAAACAAGGGGCTAAAATCGAGAAAACAAAGAATGTGCAACAGCAGCAGCAGCAGCTCCCTGGCAAGACGATAAATCTTTCAACGTGGTATTTGAAGCAAAAACTGAAATTGCAGAGGAATTTTTAAGCACAGAAAGAGAGAGGGAGAGAGAGAGGGAGATAGACCCATGCAAAGGACAAAAACAGGCTTATGAAATATTAAGCGAGAACCGAATCCAAAAAAATCGAAACCGAAAAAGCCCGCCGCCACATGACAAATGCTCAGCAAGCGGTCGTTTTCTTCGCTTCGTTTCGGTCCGATTCGGTTTCTGCAATAAATTCCACTTGGTTCGCCTTGCCGCCTTTAACTCGACTTGGCTTTCTGCTCGACTTTCGTTTTGAAGCGCCGACAATATTTGCATATTTGGATTTGCAAATTTGTTTGATAGCCCGCGTCCCATAAATTTCTCAATTAATTTGCTCCGAGAAGAGATTTTTATTTTTATGCGGTGTTGAGCGAGGTGTAAAAGGAAATTAGCTAAATGGGTCAAATGGAAAGTTTGACAGATTTTAATTAATAATTCAAATGCTTTCTGGTAAGGAAGTTTGTTTTTATTTACTGTAAGAATTTCCGAAAAGCAAAGATTTTACCTCAAAACAATAAAAGAAATAGAGGAAGTCAATTAAATTCGTTGGTAACATATCTAAAATCTATAAAACTTGAGTTTTTTAAGCTCTTCTTTGAAGGGAGATTCACTTTACACCTGATTTTGGAGGTGCCACTTAAAATTTAATTATGACTTCATCATCTCGGCCCATAAATGGGTCTAGACAACCAGCCAATGCCCAAAAATAGGCGCACTGCAGAGTTATTGCTCCGTTTTTCTATAACTGTTCGGCAATTAACATTTCAGCCACAACAAGTGAAGCTTGTTAAAACGACAATTTAATTGTTAACAAGACATGAGCACAGCAGTCAGTCGTAGGTATATCTGTCTGTCTGTGTGTTACCTCTCCGTAGAGTGCTCCACATGTGGCTAAATAGGAATGGGAAGTTTTGTCGGTTTTCCTCTTCGCTTTCGTATGAACATGGGTGTTTAATTGCTCAATTAAGCAGAAGTGCGGTCCACACAGATGCTGTGTCTGCGGATCACAGGTGTAATCCTCCCAGGAAAATAGAAAATGGAGCTGGCGCTAACATTGCTTAAAGGTTTAACCAATTGTGATGGTTGGGTGTGGAATTTAGAGCAAATGTTTGACCTTAAAAGGTTTATTAAATTAAATAGACTCTTTATTTGTTCTATTCATAATTAACATTTAACTTTATTTAGCAATTTTTAATCATTTTAGATGTTATTTTCCACAAATTCTCAATATAATTAATATAAATCGAGCAAAAATCAAAGAAAGGCAAAACGCCAAAACGAAAGACTTAGGCAACGAACGCAGCAGGCAAGCAGGCGAGCGCAGCAACAACAACAAATGTGTATTAATAAGCAGCCAACAAAAACAAAGCGGACGCAAAAGAGCAGCACACAAGAAAAACAACAAAGAGCAGAAGAAAAAAACGTACAACAAAAAGAAGCAACAGCAACAGCAGCAACAGGCAGTGACTCTGGCAGCGACGCCGACCGAGGCAGCAAAGAAAAACGATGAAAAAATGTACAAGTAAAACCGAATTGTTTCCCACGGCATACGATTTTGCCGGTCAACACGATGGCGGCGAAGAGTTAGAGAGAGAGAGAGAGGGTGAGAGGCAGCGATTGGAGAGCCCAGAGAGCGGTGGCAGCAAAGGTGTAAGCGAAGCAACGCCAGGTGAAGAAGAGCAGTAAATGCAGCCATATTGAAAGATCGCCAAGAGAGGGAGCGAGAGAGCGAGCCAGAGCCCCCAAAGCTATAACAGTTTAACACACACACACAGGGAGAGCGGTAGAGCGCGACTTTTGTTGTTGTTGTCAGCTGAGCGCAAAAAGAGCAAAACGTGACTTAAAAGTGAATTGGAGTCGCGTGTTTCTCAGTGTTGTGTATGTGTGTGTGTAAGCTTACAAAAACTGCAGCTGGCAGCTGCTCCAAAGAGCGAGACAGACAGAGAGAGAGAGAGAGCAGAGAGCGGCTAAAGCTGAGCTAAAACTTGTTTTCAACGGCGCTTTGAAGAAGAGCATAAATATGCGCAAAAAAAGAACAAAAAGGGAGGCAAAAAAAGAATTAATAGACGATGCTTGCGATGCGTCTGAATTAATAAAAAGAAACCCGAAAGAGAAAGAACAACAAAAGAAATGTTAGAAAAACCATTGAGCGGAAGGAAGATGAAGATGGGGATATGGTGGATGGGGGAAAGTCAAAACTACATATTATGATTTTGATACGCCGCAAGAAACTGAGACAAACAAAAAGCCCAAAAACACACACACAAACGAAGGTGCAGTCAAAATATGTACACAAGAAACAACAATCAATTTGCATAACACTAATACACACGTTGGGAATGGTGGGAAGCAAAAAACAAAACAAAACAAAATGTGCAATCGTTAAAACCACAATAGTTTTGTCCAGCATTTGACACCAATTTTTGGTTACAGTTTATCACACTTTTCTACAAAAATACCACAAAAGTAATATTAATATTTGTTTAAGGATCACTTAAAAAAAGAAAGGCAATATTTTTACTTGTAGGCAATACAAATCAGAAATAATATTTTAACTTTAATTTAACGATGAAATATAATTTATTTCCTTTTTATCTAAAAGTTTAAGCTAAAATCTTTGGCTTATAGTATTTTTAGGTACATTCTAACTTGCACAATCTGCCACATTACTTTGGCACTTTGTACACTTGTTAAGGTTATTTTCCGCTTTTGGTTTTATTTGTTTTTGCCTTCAACTATGAACTCTCTAGGCCCCAAACTTGAAACCCCAGCTGTATGCTTGAAGACCCTTTTTTTGTACAGCTACGAGGGTTCCCCCAGGTGGAAACTTGAAAGCTGGAAAAGGCCAAGCAGCTCTCAGGTGGGAGACAGACACTTGCTAAAGTGTTAGAAAATAGTGCGTTGCATTGTTTACCTTTTGCTTGAGCCGTTCTTTGTCTTTGTGTCTCCGTTTCTTTCTGTCATTCGCTTTTTTTACTGAACACACTGGGTACTACTCCTATTTTTACTGCGATCACTCAGGCTTGAAGCGACTAGTTAAGTTAGTTAGTTCTTCGTTTCTTTTTCTCCCTCTCTCCCTCTTATTTCTTGCCATTTCCACGTCAACTTACCTTGTTGACTGACAGACATTTAAACAACAACAAAAATAATGAAAAGAAAAAGAAGAAAACACAAGGGGACATAAAAATGTATGAAAGCACGCATTTTTATTATAATTTTCCACCGACTTTTCCCGGACTTTCGTACACAGGTGTTTGCTGTTTAGATGCCCTTTTTCTTCCACCTGGATGTTGTTTATTAATCATTTAAATTCATCATCATAATCAACCGTTAGCACAACGGGCCTGGGAAACAGTTAGAAGAAGCGCAAGTGAATCACCCATTTTCTCGCAGTGTGTGGGAGTTCGCCTCTAAATTGCAATTAATTACGTTATACGGAGCAGAAGAAAGGGGAACCGAAGAAATAGAGCTCGCTCCCCCAAGTGTCTTCATTCATTCATTCATTCATCTGCCTTCATTCCTTCACCGCTCAATGTTAATATGAAAATTGCATAAATGCAAAACCAAAAGACATGGGGGACGGGGGGGAGGACTGGGAGGGACTACGGTTATTTGACGGTTAAATTGAAATTGTGAGAATATCACATTATAGGATGGGTATGAAATTGAATTAAATTGCATTGCTAATGGCTGGCTAATTGCCCGAGATATTATTTTAAATGGCAAATTAAACTATTCTACATTCCACCTTTTGACTCGGAGTGAGTCAGAGTTTAGGGATCCATTAGGCAGATGTTCCCATACATACTACTTATGTATTTACTATCCAACTTATTCAAGACCCCAGGAGGTTGGCGTGGAGACACTTTTTTTTTGGAACGTTGCTCAAATTAGCGACTAAATAAAGGCCCGGAAAAAAGAAGCTGGTACAAAGTAAAGCACGCAACATGCCAAAGTTGAGGAAAAAACATGAGATGTATGGAGAGTTTGGGAATGGAGCACATGCAACGTGCACCGGAAATAAATGGGGTTTCAGTGATATTTCTTGACTAGCTAAATTTCTTTTTTAATTTTCAAAGATATTATTGCTAAGCTGAGAAGGAAAATTGTTGTATTTAGAAAATGGAGTTGATAAGTGAAGTTGAAGACATATTTTTAAGCACAGCAGCACAGCACAATCAAATTTTAATACAAATTCTTGCCTTCAAATTTAGGATTACATTTACTAAGAATAACTGTCTTAGAAAATGTTTAATATAATTTATAAAAATCGTTTAAAATCTTCCTTACTGTTCCCTATCATTTATTTAAAATTTTCCCGTAGACTCGACCCCCTTTTCTTGCCGTGTTGCCAGGGGATGCTGGCGTTAAAGATCAATGAAAGCATGGCAGAGAACGAGGCGAAAGGAGGAAAGAAGGAACGGAGCAAGTGAAGCTGCGCATGTGTCGCCGTTGACCTACGCAGAGCGTAAAGTAAACCGAAAAAAATCGCATGTAAAAAGCGCATGCAAAGCGGAGAAGGGAAGAAGAGATGACAGCGACAACGGCAGATGTTGCCCAGCATCATCATCATCATCGTCGTCATTGTCATCATCATCCTCATCAGCTTGTAGTGTTCGCCAAGCTTAATATTGAAATCGAGCAGTTTTTGTTTAATTTTTTGCTGCTGTGCAAGCGGCATGCGCCGTTGGTGGTAAATTTTAATGTTAATGTTAAAGAAGGCTTTGACTTATTTTACACAGCAAAATATAAAGGAGAGGAAACCTTAAATAAACTTCAAGATAATGAAAAGGACTATTCAGAGTTTTTAACTAAGAATTATTACAAATTTAAAACATCGAATTTTAGCCTGAAATTCTTTTTAACAAAACGATCTCCTGACTTATAAATATTTTCCTTCTGTGTAATTGTATTCAACAGTTTTTTTTTTTTTTATTTTATTTTTGGGAATAGACCTGTTTGGCCATTGGCCTTGCCCATTTCACAAACTAGTTTTCTATCTAGAAATATGCTACCCTAAAAGGGTGATCAAAATAACCACCCCTAATATCGAACCCGCTTAATTTTAGAACTTGCTCAGCTGTTTCATTTTGAAACTTCTCAAATTACAAGCGATAGAGGGGCACAGTTTTAGGATACATAAAAATACAATTCTTTTTTCTAACGATTCTCCCAACAACGAAAACTTTCCTTTAAGAATTTTCTAACAAATAAACATAATTTAAGGGAATAATCCAAGTTTTGTTTTTTAAATTCAAGAGCCCTGGCAACTCTAACACCTTCGCTCTCTTTCTTGCACGCGGTGTCCCCGCACGGCAGCTGCAGAAAACGGTGCACGCATGTGTATAGCGGAATAGGGAAAAGTGCCAAAAACATAAACTGCAAAAGGGAGCGACGAGGAGAGACTTGTTGGGGGCAAAAACTCACCTGTACGATGACTGTGCAGCAAATGAATGCCGTTAATAAACATTTAATCCAATGCATGTTTATTTTTTATGGTTTTTGTTTTTTGGGATGAATTGAGTGTCGCTTTTTAGTGTAATAATCCACGGGTGTGTGTCGTGTGTGGTGTGTGAGTGTGTGATGTGTGGTGCGTGTGTGTTGTGTGGTATGTGTGTGTATGTGCAGCAACTACTCAAATTGTTTACTGTATTTTTATTTTTTGTTGTATTTTTCGGTAATCTGCTGCCTGCGATTATTCGCCTTTAGCATTTTTGTTGTTGCTGCCAAGCTACACGTGCACGAGCCACATTGTTGTTGTTGTTGTTGCTGCTGTATGTTGTGTTTATTTATAATTTTCGCGAAAACTTATTTTTTAGCGGCCTGCTTCGCCTCGCCTCCTCCTCTTCGCGGAACGCAGAAAAGGGAGAAGGAAAACTAACGGCGCTGCTGGCGATTTTTGTTGTTATTCTTTTATTTTTTTGGCGCAAACAACAGAGAACAGAACACAGAAATATGCACTTTTTATGTTTGGCGTTTTTAAACTAAAAAGATCACTTGCGGCTCTTTTTGGCGTCGGTTCTTTTGCACCGCTTTAGGAATATAAAATTCGGAACTGCCGACATTCGCGGGAAACTGAAATTTCACTGGCAGTTCGCGGCACACACAAATATTCTCGATTTATTTTTCAGTTATTATAAGTTGCGCGACCGTTGGTAGTTAGTATGTGCTTTCGTACGGCCAGCTTGAGCTTGGGGAATCGCTACCGAGGCACAACCGCTTTCGATGAGTGAAATTTTTAAACTGTGAATGAACTGTGAATTTTGAACTGAAACAGGCTGGCACGTTTTTAGAAAAACGAGTTTTTGATAACAATTCGCTCTCGACGGCTAACATAGGGCTGTTAGCCCGTTTACACGTTTACAGATACATGGGGTAGAATTCTCTCCTCTGGGGTAGAATTCTTGTACATTTCGTCAAATCCCAGGTAGAAACTGGTCTCTTGGACAGAGGAGAGCGCAAGTTAACAGAGGTCCCTCTCGTTGGCTGTCGACGGGAGCGTAAGTTAACAGCGAATTTCTCTCGCTTTCACGAAGTGTGCTCTCGGGTTTGTCTTCGGCAAAATTCACGAAGTACTTGGTCTCTCTCTGTTGTGTAGCTTCTCTCGCTTTATTCCTTCACGTTGCATCCCACTCTGGCTCACCGGCTGTGAATCGGGTGGATATGTTGCTGCAGCATTGTTGCCGGTAAATGTTGCGCTACTAGTTTCTTCAACATTTTATTGTATGTTAGTTTTCCTATATTAAGGTTTCTTAAATAAAATAATGCAAAATTGGAACTAACATGTAATGGAATTTCAAAATAAAATATTCATAATTATTTGCTTTTCTTATTTCCCGCTCTTTTGGATAACAGCAAAAAGGATAAAAATTCCTTTTGTTCGGTAAATGGGGTTGATTGCCTAAAAAGGAATAGATAAGCCACAGGAACCCCGCTTAACGGGATTTTTGGCCACGCATTTTGATTTCTATTTTGCATATGAAAGGTTATATATCATTTATTATAATTTTTTTGTGCCGGAATGTGTTTTCTGCGATTTTCATTAATTATGTTGTGAAGCGTTAGGAAACTCGTTTGAATTTGCTGAAAAATAATATAATGATAGTTCATTTTATTTGATTTTAAATTTAATAAACCCATAAAGAGATTTGTGATTCCGATTATTATACCCTTGTAAGGTTATTATAATTATTATTAATATAGTCAGAAGCCTAGCTCTGATCGTTTTCCGATTCGCTTCTATATTTCTATAGCTAACTTCGGTTGTCCTTTATTTTTGTAATAAAATCCTTAACGATTACAGCTTGGTGGTCTCTTATCTCCTGATATCTCTTATCTACCGTATCCTGTTCCCGATGAAACCAGGATTAATGGGAATCGCTTTCTTGATCAAACATTGTAAATCACTTGGTAATCGGAGTTCATTGAAAACTTCTGATAAATGGGACCAACGATGCTGTTCGGCCAGAACTCTCTTCGCGGGAAATAAAGTTGTTGAAATTTGTACAATAAAAATCGGTCTTCATTAATTTGCATCGTACCCCAGGTATATATTTGCATATGCATGAGACGAGACCCGGAGGAGGCCACAGAAAACGAAACCAATCACGTCAACACCCAATTTTACAAGGAGTCTCCTGGCTCCAAAGACCCCAAATTTCTCTTCCTCCGACTTTCAAGTGTCCGCCGATGATTTCAAGAAGGATACAGTGAAGCTTCCTTAACGCGAAGCATTAATTTTAATAATTTTCTAAAAAGGAGTCGAAATTATGTATGAAAAGATTAAATTGCTTTGATTGTAGACAATCTTCTCAGCAGATTCTTAGCCTTTGTTTTATCACCTTATTATTAATAGATCCTATAATAATATATATTCATGTTTTATTTATACCAAATTTGTACCCAAAATATATATTTTTCCCAAATATTAAGGTACAAGAAAGGCGGTTTAAGGTTGATAGAACTTATCCTCTTTTAAAACGTACTATATTATTCATTTAGAACTTTAAAAAATTGAAATAACTTGATAAATTCAGCCTCATAATAATAATTACCTACAAAATTCTAAAACTATTATTTCATTAAAAAACCATTTAAGATCTTTCATAAAATTCGAGACAAGAAATAAAGTTATAACCTTCACTAAGTCACCTCAATGGATACCCAACTGTATTTGTAATATTTAAACATAAAATATATATTTCTCGCCATCAATTCAGAGGTAAAACATTCGCACCGGGAGTTTTTCGAAGCTCGCAAAAGAGTGAAAAGTTTTTAAATTAAACACAAATTTATGATCAAACAACGGCAGAGGTGCAATATTAAAAAAAAAATCGAAGAAAGAAATAAATAAAGAAGGAGCTGAGGATTGGGAAGATGAAAAACCTGGAGGCTGTGGGGCAAAGCCAAACGGCAGCCTCTCGATCCGGCGATCATGGTCGTCTCCCACCAACAGCACCCCCTTTGCCCCCCCCCCCCCCCCCCGTGATGCCCAGCGCCATGGTTAGCACCTGTAAACCGGTTGGCAGATCTTGGCAGGTAAGAGACCGAAGAGAGAGACCGAGAGCTCAGTCTCACCCAAGAAACAGATGTCCTGCTGCTCCAAATTGAAAGCGCAACATACATCATCCATCCTTTTTGCGTGGACCCTTGCTCTTAACTTGAGGCAGCGTTCAGAAATTGGGGTCATGTACTTGGCCAAGACCAGCACGGAGACAGGTAACATCTTTCACTTGGCAGCAGCCTCCACCAGTGGAGCCTCGTATTTTATGCATGTTTACATATATATATTTTTTGTGCGTTGTGTTTTTTTGGGCTTCATAAAATGATTTTTTCTGGTGGCTGAAAAACTTGAAAATTTGTCGCGTGGCGAGATCCTAAAGGACCTGGAGGCGGAACATGGTGTGGAGCGTGTGTCCCTCATGATCTGTTTATAGTTCAGATGGATGATGCAATGATGCAAGGCAACAACAGGTTGCTGATATCACTTGTAACGCTCAAGTTTTAGAGCTTCTTTTTAATGAGGAACGCTTAACAAGCAAATGTGTTGAGAAGCGAAAGAGTGGGTAGTCTACGGATCAAGCCAGACTTTGTAAAGAAAAAGTATATAAATATTTGTAATACTTACAGTGTTATTTAAGATAGTTAAAAGTTATTCCTGTAGCAAACTGGCATATTAATATATTAATTTTCTAAAAATTTGCATCCTTTTGTAAAGATTTATTTAAAATATAAATAGTTTGTTAGTCTACGGATCAAGTCAGGACATTGTACAATGAAATTATATCAATATTTATAATACCTACTCTACTATTTAAGATTAAAATATTAATTAAATTAAAATATTAATTAAAAATACATTAAAATATTAATTTCCCAAAACTATGCAGTCTTTTCATTCACTTTCTTTACAACATAAATATTCCCTATTATAAATCTTGTAAAACATTGGATACTTTTCCAAGGATTATTACTATTATTATTCCCTTCCCTTTTTGCAGGTGTCGAAGCCAGAAAATTCCCATCCTTGATTTTCCCACACAGGATGCAAATGCAACAGGATCGGGGTGGGGAATTTTCATGCAAAAGACAAACGGGGAAAAGCGGAAAACCAAGAACCAAGGCATGGAATCTCCGAAAATAGTATCGAAGCATCTCCAGAGGATAAAACCGAAGGACGCCAGACAAGGACATGTGCGCTTCCCACACAGACGAGACTCTACAGCAGGTACATGTCCTATCCAAAAGGAATATCTATCCACAAAACGAAGGAAACTTCTTCCCAGGCAGCTCAAAAAAGGAGGAAAATAAAAACCAGCTGCTTTGAAATCTCCTGTTCCTGTTCTTTTACGAGATTTTTACTATACACTGGGAGTTTTCTGTTTTTACTGGAAGTTTTTACTGTTTCAGGTGGAGGTGTCGCCTCGGTACTTCAATTCACTTCCGTGTGAATTCCTGGCTCCCAGGATTTCGCACAACAGCTGGACTAGTTAATCCTTTGGCAGTTGTTAGACGCAGGATTCCTCGACTTTCGCTTAATTGGCAAGCCAACTGGCCGTGGCCAGAAACCGCAGCAGTTGCTGTCGCTTTGTTATTGAATTCGACATTTTATCGGAAATCTTTTCTCTTTTTTTTACTCAGATCTTGGGAACGGAAACGCGACTGGGATAGGGATCCTTAAGATTCAGAGCACCCTGTTTGCGAAACACGAAAATATGAAAGAGGGTCGAGATCAAATCAAGGAACATTGAATGCGAGGGTGGATCAGGTGCATTGCATAATCTTTACCTTTGTCTTCCTGCATCTTTTATATGGTGGGAATATTTTTATTGTTTAAAAAGCGGGAATCGGGAAAGATCCGAAAAAGCGGATCCAAACGGAAGTTGTTTAGCGTGGGAAGTCCTGGAAGCAAACAGAGCCAGTAACCCCTTCAGTGACTTTATCTAATTCCGGTGGAGATAATTTTTAAGAGGGTGGAATTATCATACAAAAATTTTGCTTTGATTTGGTTTTTCATTTATATTTATTAAGGAATTAAATGCTTAAGTTTATAGAAACAAATATATAAATCTAAACATGAAACTAGAATGGAAACTGACCTAGGGAAACCCTTGAAGTTTGCAATTGAATTCTAAGATCATAATTAAGCTTTATATATTCACGTTCTCTGAATCGATATTTATTGGAAGTTTTATATGAAAATTCTTTCGACAAGCTGATTAAAGTTATAATATCCCCAAGGATATAAAATCATATCCTCTGACCCTGATCTAAGACATCTTAAAAAGCTTTGCAGCTTTGCTTCTTGGAATCCACAGGACTCCGCTCATTCATTCAACAACGCGATTCCTGGAATTCCAGCCTCATGTCCTTGCCCATCAGCTGGACCATGGTACCACAACAACAAAAACAACAACCAAACATCCTGTTTTTTTTTTGGGAACTCAACTAAACTGTCCCAACTGCCTCGTTTCATTCATGAGATCTGTGGAGATCGCATCCATCGAGCAGCTTTCAAGGCGAAGAATGCGTAAAAGTTTCGCGTAAACAGAAACCGGAAACGTGAAAAGTGGAGGCCAGAAGGAAGAAGGAACTTTCGGCGATTCGTGGGAATTTCATGGGCCACTTCCTTCCGAGTGCGCGGGAGTCCTAAACGGAGTCCTTTTTGCTTTCTATGAGCGCGAATCAAGTTACGCGTTGATTCGAACTCAATCGGTTGGAACACTGAACGAAAATTGTATTTTCTAGT